TTGCTGTCAAAAGGCCACTGCTTTTAAAATAATCGAGATATTTTATTTTTACCAAACACCTAAAACTGCTTAACTTTAAAGTGAAGCAGGTTTTTGGAGAAAAAAAGCAATCTCAAACGGGGAGTAATATTCCTTTTTGCATTTAATTTGAAGAGGTTGTAAGTTTGAATTCCCGCCTCTATATAATTAAAATAAAATATAAGTAAATAAATAAACAAGACAAACAGACCAAAATTAAAAAGGTCTAACATTTTGACGTGAAGGATAGTGTTGGGATGGTTGTTAGAGTCTCTAATGGTGGATTCATGGAACACGAGCATCATGCAAACCTCTTATGAAACTTGTAATTTTTATATCCCCACACACACGTCACTATCAGCGTAAACAATTCCTTGGTTTAGGTCAAGTCTCCGCCATCATCTTTATTTACTTATTTATTTTTCTGATAAACCCTCATAATCATCAGTTTGTCTATCTGCTCAAAACTTCTTAAAATAGCAACCGATCAACATTTACTGACCAATTTTCTACTATAGTGTGGAATCCGTACGTAACTAGAACTCACGTTTGTATGTTGATTAGAAAGGCGGTCGGTAAGATAATCACAAAAAATATAACCCCAATAAGATAAACAATATTGTTTGTAATCAGACTCTGAATTTAAATCATTAGTCAAACTAATTTTTATATGCATGTGTGATCTAAAATTACAGTTTGACAACATAAAATTCTAAGAAAATAACACTACGAGTTAATGAAATTAAGTGGATAAATACCTGCATACGCCATAGAAGGTCACCACTAGGCTTGACCTGATAGCGATTATTGTAGAAATTAAGACGAGCTTCTTCCACCTCGGCTCGCTCTTCGGGAGTTCCTGCCTCAGGATCAAACTCAAATATTTGCCTCCCCACAAAGTCGTTTGTGCTGTAGATGTAAGGGTCATTCCCTCCATCTGCAACCTTAAGCTTCCACATCTTCAATATCTCTTTCTTATTATTATTATTATTTATATATATATAGCTGCCACTGCTGTTCTACCTAAGAACCTGTTTCATGCATGCAATGTATGTATCTATAGATTTTGAGAGAGAGAGAGAGAGAGAGAGAGAGAGAGAGAGAGAGAGAGAGAGAGAGAGAGAGACCCCGCGCGAGAGAGGCTGCAAAACATGGTGGGGTTGGCCAGCTAGCTAGTTTATATTATTTATATACGTGTGTGTGTGTGTGTGTGTGTGTTTGTATAACGGGAGAGTAGTTTTTCGTGATCAGCAACTAATGATTCTTTAATATGCTTCGATAGAGGAATAATACATATCACCTTCCTAAATTTGTACTTATATATAACATTTATAGATCCATAGAAATTAAACAAGCACCCATAGGCCATGTAGTTCTTATTATATATTTTAATTTTCCGTAAGAAATTGTTTCCGATTGTCGTCAGCTCTCCTCTAAAGTAAGGTGCGTCACTTCCACCATCTACCATCCACCATCCACCCAAGAATGATTCAATATGAGTGCCACTTCCACGCGACACAAAATTATAATATTGCACATCAAAGATTAAATGCACGAGTTCCTTCCCTCCTTTTTTTAATGGGAGTTGTGTTTTCATTTTTATTGTAAGAATAATGACAGTTGTATCAAAAAAAATTATTTTGCATTCCTTCTTTTAAGGCGGATAAACAGAATGCAATATTATGGCAGATATGGGTAAAAACTTGTTCAATAATTTGAGCCTCCCAGTCCCAATAGCAATACGGAGATTTTTCAAAAACTTCTATATACAATAAGACTTAAGGCATTATTCCATTTTAATTTTCAAACTTAGCATTATTCTATTTTAATTTTCAAACTTAGGATCTTTATGAAAGATTTTTGTATGATACAGAGTAATTAAAAATGAAAGCTAATACAAATGCGTGTTCATATGGTTTTGGGGGATATGCATGATCTGAATTTGTCTTTTTCTTTGGCCATTGACTCAAATGTACACAGAATCTCTACAATTATATTATTATGGCGTTGAACTTTTAGTTAGTGGAGATGTTAGGTACAAAGATTTTTATTGAAAGTAATGACCCTATTGACTAAAATTCGCCAACGTAATTAAATCTCTAATAGGGAAAAGCTTCTTCCTTTGTATTCACTTCACTCTTTTTTTCTTCAAGAATTAATTCTTAGCAAGCTTGAAACCTAGACACGTGGATGGCATGTTCACACTAACATTAGTTGATACATCACATTAATGAACTCAAATTATCATATGAAAAGATCACATGCATATGTTTGGGGCTTAGCAACATTTGAATATGCACATAAATTTGGAAAAAGATTCTCCCTCCAGCTGGGAGAAAGCTATCTAAATATTTTTCACGGAAGAAGTTGCGTCTACATTAGTTGCTGTGTACGTGTTTTTGATTATCTTATCAATAAAATACTATCGCTTTTTTATAATAAAAATATATATATGAACAGAGTTACTAATGGCATGAGGTCAACAGCCACCTAGACCTAGTCAAAGCTTCCAGCGATTGCTGAGGCATATATACATTAAAATAGGAAACCGCATGAAAAGTATGGAAAATGCAGGGATTTTTAAACAAAGAACACAATCTCTGAATCTCATATCAAAACAAAGCGAACAATAATCCAGGGTATAAAAGAAGTCAACGTTTTCTAAGCATGTAGGACCAAGGTGGAATAATAATTGAACAGGTATACTAAATACAATATATATGTTGATGTCGGTGTATTTTCCCAATAATATCTTTACCTTAGATACCATGTTTAATAATTTTTTGGAAATCGAATTTGACACATTTTTTAATATTAAGGAACAAAATATATGTCAACGGGGTCTAAACTCGTGAAAAATAGCATTAACTTGCAAACTAGTAGTTTAAGATTTGAACCCACATGCCACCGTGATTGTGTGTGTGAGAAAGGAAAATATCCGGAAGATGAGAGGAGTGAAGACATGACAAAGACATATGAAATCATGTAGGTGAAAGCTAAAAATTAAAAACAACAAAATTTTATTTTATACATATTCTCCTTTATTTCTATCTTCACTCTTTCTCCACCATCCACCATCCTCTTTCTATCCCTCATTTCCATCTTATCTTTTTCTCTCTCGACTTTATTTAAAAAGCAAAAAGCCGAAAACCCAAAAAGAAAGTGTTGATGATAGGATACCACATGCACTTAGGACCACATTAAAGACAAATACTAACAACTTTTGGAGTAACGCTGGAAACTTCATCATCAAATACTAACAACTTTTGGAGTGTTATTTAGTGAATTTATTGTATTAGCCCACCAATGTGGACATATATAAACCAAGCACAAAGTTTCTACCGCTCATATTCCTATCCTACACCTACCTATATTTATGATATGATTCCTTTCTCTAGCTGGTTTGACCTTTGTGAAGCTAAGGTTCATACCAAGTTATTCAAGGACCATGTTTTAATTATCCTCAATTCTTTGTAATTTTTTTTTAATTAATCAACAATTTTGCTCGTGTGCCATTAGACTAAAAGATTATGAGCAATGCTAGGCATACCACATTTGCATACCACTTTGTTAGAGAGGTGGACCCGGCACACCTCTATTAAAGAGAGAGTACACAAAGTGATATATAAATGTGGTATAATGACTAGTATTTTTGAAAGATTATTGGCTAATTCTTCACTGAGTTCCCCAGTAAACTTAATAAATGTACATGCATGTAATATCTAAAAATAACAGTACAGTTAGGCTCAAATTCTTGAAAGCTAGGTCATATGTTGGCCATGCTTCTACAAATGTTTAAGGTTTAATTTTAATTGACCTAATTGACTCAACCGGTGAGAAGCTGCAAGATCCTCTCTCATTGGATTGTACACAAGTAATCGTAATTCGTCGTAAATTTATTGAAAAATTTGTATTTTGTACAAAGTCATTCTCACTAAGCATCCCCTCTCATAAAAATAAATTTCAACAATTGGCTCTTATATATATGTTTAATCCTTCATGTTGGATGAGCTACACAATACTATTAGCGATTTAGGCTTCCGAAGGCAATGGAACCCGCTTGCGGTACTCTGCAAGAGCCCACAGAGGGTAGATATTTCTATAAGCTGCATAATGTAGCATGCAGTTCTTCATGAACACTCCTGTGATTTCCTGCCATGGTTCAGTGACTAATGGTTAGAAAAAAGTTACAAGTAAAAATTAAGATTGCAATGCAAGTAATGTTGTGCTAAGAAAGATACCTGTTGGGGAAAATCGCCATTTTCCATTTGAGAATTGATAATCAACTTTGCTGCACGATGAAGAGGTGCAGGATCTCTTTCTGCCTGTCCAGCTTGAATAAGACCCATCATAGCCCATGCAGTGTGTACTAAATTCGATCGGTTTTCTTCGAGAGGAACGTACTCCTGTATCAACCGCCAAGAGAGAAATATTTTCATGTAAGACAATGGGATGGTTTAAGAAATTTGAAGCTTGCTTAAAACGCAATCCACCTCCAACATCTTACCTTTTTTGGACATGAAAGATAGCTCTCTCCCCAGCCACCGTTCTCTCTTTGTGTCGTGAGTAGAAAGTCAACGCCTTTGCGCACAGTCAAACAATTATTGAAAGTCTTTCCAGCAGCTGCTAACCCTCCAAGGGCAAACCAGCTACCATATGTAAAGCAAACTCCCCAATTTCCATACCATGAACCATCTGGCATTTGTATGTTTTCAAGGTACTCTGTAGCATTGGTAATGAAATTATCAATCTCTTTTTTCCTGTGCCCAGGATACAACTTCTTAAACAGAACTAAAGACTGAATTGCAGATGAAGTGCATTCAACATATTCGTGCTCGACCACAATGTCCGCGAAGAATTCTGTGGGATTTAACATCTGAGGGAAATAAAAGAGGAAAATATTAGTAAGTATCTGCTAATGATTATTTTAAGAGCATTAATTTCTGTTCATCTGACAGATTTGCACAAGAACATGGCTCCAATTTGTTAGAATTCTTACTTCTAACCACTCTGCTGCTCCTGCTGGTTCCCAGGCTGCTAAACCCCCATTCTTACTCTGCAATGATACGAAAAAAGGTGCTTAGTTAATGAGTCTGGGTTGAAGTGCTAAAAGTTAATTAGATTCTTCAAACTAAAGCAACAATTAGGAGTGGCAACTCTAGGGTGAAAGAATCATGTGAAACAAATATAGATCAAATTGCTGCAGGGAAAGCACAAGCTTTCAAATTCATATCTATGACTAGGGGGTGCAGGATGAGAATAATTTAGACACAATCCTTTCTGCAGGCAAGTTCTCAATCGTATAACCTCTGAGGTTCCATTTTTTCACCAACTATATCTGGTCGCATCGTCGATAACAGCAGGCAACACTGCAGTGTGGGAGATTGTGAGAAACATGGAGATAAACAGACAGGGTAGATAAGTCAAATTGAAGCATTTGAGAAAATTTAGGTACCTTTAAACCCTCTGCGGTGCAATCAGAAACTTGCCATCCATGGTCTTGATCTGAGAAAGTCCATGATCCTTTAGAAATGTGGCGGTGCATGCTTTTGAAGTCACCAGATGGATTGTCCTTGACCTGTACAGTTTGAGGACAAAGGATTCATTAGTCTGAACAAATTAATGGACACACATTTATAGGTAAACTATAGTTAAAATTGAACCTGAGATTTCTTTATGAAGTCATGTCCTCTAGCAAGCGTAGGTCCAATTTCATCAGTGAGATTGCTAGCAAGCAAAGCTTGAATGGCAAAACCAGTATCCCACTGCTGACTTCCAAAACTCTGCATATATCAATCAAACAATAAATATGTCAACTTCTAAGGTTTTTATTCTTCTTTTAGGTGAGTTACACTTTGAATTAATGACCAAAGGAGCAAACCTCTGCCTTAAAATCATATGCATAAATTTTACAACAGCATAAATAATCTGGGATGCTATGCGTACTAACCTGCATCTTCATCCCATCTTCAGCAACCCATAAATAATCTGGGATCCTAGCAAGATGCTTCTTAAAATAGTCTCCATTTGGATCTTCAGCCCAACAAGCAAGCATACATAACACCTGTTCAAGTAATGCAAATAACATGATGAGAATCTGAAAAGATAATATTTTTCTCCACAGTCCTACATGGTATATCAGTATCCTTATCTACATTACCTTTTCCACACATCCAATGGTAATATATCTGCTGTTTTCATCTTCATAATGAATGTGCTTCATTGTTACTTGAAGAGCTTTTTCTCTGACCAATTTGTTAAACGGCCAGCGAGTAAGAAGAGGCTCTGTACATATGTAGAGACTATCCCACATGATGTCCTGTATCCAAGGGTGTGGGTAGTAGATATCCTCCTGCAATTAAATACCTGGAATCAGGTTCTGTACTTAAACAAGAAACATAAACTGATTAAATAATTTAATTAAGTTAAACTCACTTTCGCGCAAAGATGGCGCACTCCCTTCCAATTAATTTCATCATAAGGTTGAGCATACAGTTCTTCCCTCAATTGCAGAATGAGAGGCGTGATTGGGCCAACAAATCTCTTCCCATATAAATATGACATAGGCATGTAAACCATCCTACAATAGCACCACATTTTTGCTGCGTTTTCAAGATAAAAGATGTTAAAAATGAAAACTTCTAACTAAATCATGAGGACACTCCTTGAGTTTGCAGAGTTCTTCAATCTGCAGGTCTGCTAACCTGGATGCATAGGAAGAAATGAAGGCAGCATCCAAAACTCTGGCGGCATTGGGTTGCTTCCAGACCACTCAAACACGCCAAGTATCTACAACAAAAGCAACATACTCATATTAATTGAAGCCTAATAAATGCGCAACTAGTACTCATATTTTTTCCATTCAACAAGGCCATACGTACCGAAAGCCAAGTCTTTCCCCAAGAGGGCATGTGTGTGACACTACCATGATCAAGAATCCATTTCCTTGCTCTGGCACAAGCATTGTCCTGGCCTCCATCAGGTCCTTCTCCTAGAATACGCATACAAATGTAGCTCAGGGCTGTGCAGAACATGGTGCTGTGGCCTTCAATATGTAATCCCCAACCACCATCTTGATTCTGAAAGTACATTACCATTCTTTATATACTAGAATAACACAAAATATGCACAAGGAGTGGAAATTGAATTTAAAATTTGATCCCATTTGTGTGAACAAATTTACCAAATGAGTATGTACCTGATGATAGTATATGTAACGCAGAATTTCTTTGCGATGCTCTGCTGGGAATACAGTATTAAGATGCCCTGTAATGTATGTACACATGACCTGAAATAAATAAATAAATAATATAAAAAAAAAGGAATTTAAAAGGGAAATTAGTAAAAAGCTCCAAAACATTCAATTTTTGTCAAAAATCTAACCAAAGCTCTAAAAATAACTGTAATTATAAGGAAATTAGAAATTATACACTCACCAAAGGAGGAAGGAAAAACAATGGGCCAGCATTTTCAGCAGGCCAATGGCCATCACTTGCCTGCAAGGCTGAAAAGAAGTGAACAGATCTTCTCAGTGAGGCTGTGGCCTTTTCATATGTGATTTCCTCACCACCCTCAACCTTTACTGGGGGAATTGTCTGCTTGAAGTTCTTCTCTTTTAGGAACTGCAGTTTAGTGAACAGAGGATTATGATTGGTATTAGAGAAAAAGTAAGTTAATTCATGATGCTGATTATAGAACAAACTTATGGGTGCTAAAAAGAAGAAAAGGAATTTAAAAGTTGACTAGGTTCAAAGCTAACTATCTGTCTAGTTGAATTTTTCTTTATTTATTTATTTATTTATTTATTTTTGGTAAGATATGATATCAAGAGTTTGAAACCCCTTAGATTCTTATAATAATAAAAACCAAGACAAACCTGTCATATTTTATACCCACACACACTCATGTTCTCTTGCTAAACTCAAATTTACAGTTTGAGGACATAAGTTTAATAAGAGAATATTACCGAGTAGTAATGCAATTAAATGAATAAATACCTGCATACGCCATAGGAGGTCACCGCTAGGCTTGACCTGATAGCGATTATTGTAAAAATTAAGACGAGCTTCTTCCACCTCAGCTCGCTCTTCGGGAGTTCCTGCCTCAGGATCAAACTCAAATATCTGCCTCCCCACAAAGTCGTTTGTGCTGTAGATGTAAGGGTCATTCCCTCCATCTGCAACCTTAAGCTTCCACATTCTTCAATATCTCTTATTAATTATATATCAAGGTATATATATCTTCTCAGTAAGAACCTGTTTCATGCACATGCAATGTATAAGTAACACACCATAAAGATGTGCTAAGTAGCTATAGGTGAATATATATAGTGCATGTTCAAGAAAATCTTATATATAGTGCAGATTAATCATAGGATCCCCTAGCTTTCCATATTTTGTAAATGTCTCAATTGTTGTATATATAGTGTGTATGGATATTAGAGAGAGAGAGAGAGAGAGAGAGAGAGAGAGAGAGAGAGAGAGAGAGACCCCGTACGTGCAGTTTGCAGTTTGCAAAGAAGAAGCTGCAGAAACCTTATTGTAGAGTTTGGTTATATAGCTAAGAATGAAAGAGAGGTGGGGTTGGCCAGATAGCTAGCTCAGATATATTTGTGTGTGTATATTGTATATGTATGGTTAATACGCGCAGAGAGAGAGAGAGAGAGAGAGAGAGAGAGAGAGAGAGAGAGAGAAACCGCAAGTGCAGTTTGCAGAGAAGATTGTAGAGAATTTGGTTATAGCGAGCTGAAATGGAGGAGAACTTAGACAAATAACAATAGGGACAATATGAGGTAAATATAGGCATGTGATGTTGTTTATGCTCTTTTGGTAATTAAGCTGATCAGCTATACGTCATTTTCTTTCAACGAAGTCAGCATTGAACAGCTCCATGTATAATATAAAATAAACACTACACAGACAATGCCGGGAACGGCATTTTCACACGTCGTCGCCTTTTGAGGCCATTGACCCTTGATAAGGACAGACAGACGTGGTGTGGCCTAAAAGTGCAGGCCACGGACAAGCCACCACAGATCCCTTAATTACATGTATGGCTTGATTTGATAAACTAGTGATCTTCATCTCTCAATTTTTTGCTAGATTAATCTTCTACACCTTATTGTCAAATTACTCTTTTTTTTTAATCCAAGTAACCTATTACACTATTATATTCTCTTCACGAACTCTAATATGAGGTTAAGGTGAACTTAGAATAGTGAGGGGCAAGATAGCATGGTGTGGGATGTGATGCTAATGAGTTATTTATTTATTTATTTATTCTGAAATTGTGAACATTTGAAATAAAAGTTGAAGTGAACTTAAAATATAAGGTGAATAAATAAAAAATACGAAGTTTAAATAGAAAAACTCTATAATAATTAGTCAACCCCACACTTAGAGGCATGGAATTGAACACTGTCAACGCATAGTTTGTTCAAGTAGTGAACCTCCTATTGGGTGACTAAAACTTTCAACTCTTAATTCATAAGTAACTCATAATAATGAAAGCCGAAGATATTAAGGGATTGGGTTACGTGTGTGGGGACATGAAAGCTGAATTTATTTTTTGAATAAACGCTTTGAATTTCTCCTTTTCATAAACGTTTTGAATTTCTCCTTGTCATGTGTCTTCGGGGACAGGGACAGAGAGTATAGTCCATTTCCTACAACCCGAATCACTTTGGATTTTCCAATCTTGCGTGTCTCTCCATCTCCGTGTGTTTGTGTAAAAAGCTAAAGCCGGCACACGTACCTATGCATGATGCGTTCAACAAATATAAAAAGAAAAATTTACTATTACACTCAATATAGAAAATAAAATTCTTATAAAAAAAAATCTATATAAAATGGACTTTAAAAACACACCCAAATCTAATTTACAACATAGTAAAAAGGCTTTAAACTTCTTATAAATTATAAAACTATCATCGATTTCTTAAAATAAGCACAACCTCAAAGCCTCATAATAAAACCCAAAATACTCAATAAATTACTTTGATGTGGGTTTTTTTTATGAGGTTTTGGAATTGGGCTTGTTTTAAGAAATCGATGGTAATTTTGTAATTTATAAGAAGTTAAAAGTCTTTTTATTATGTTGTAAATGAGCTTTAGGTGTGTTTCTAAATTCCATTTCATTAGAGTTTTTTATTTTATAATTTGAGCCCCTATATTTGGTATAATAGTAAATCTCCCTAAATTCAATAGGGTTATCTGTCGTTTTGTAGGTTTGTTTATAAAAATTAAATAATGTAAGGTTTATTTATATCGCTAGTGCTAAAAATGAATATATAACTAAATATCTCATATAAGAATCAAGCCCATCACTAAAAGCGTACGGATCAGCAAGTCAACAATGATACAATATTGCACCAAGAAAACTAACAAAAATAATTGCGTACATAATTAAACGTGCACGACTAGACCACAGTGGTAAAAAAAAGCTAGCCCAAATGGAAGACTTTGAAAAAAAGTGTACCAAAGCAATTCATATGACAACTACGATTAACAATTTTTGGTGCATTATTTAGTTTATTTATTGTCTGGCCTCAAATTGTTAGTAATTCTTTTTTATAAAAAGAAGCGATAGATTATATTTATAATTCAAGCTTAAGGGAAAAATAGGAGCAATTAAGTCAATGTGGACGTGCACAAATATTAGCCAAAGAAAAAACAAGTCTTACCACTAAATATTCCTACTCACCAAATTCCAAGTCAGTGAGCCTAACATGTGAATGCGGATTCATTCCCACCGCAGCTGGAAAATCAAGAGCAAAAATTAACGGTGGGGTTGGTCTTATTGGTAGGTACAGCTGCTAGCTTTATCTTGGCATGGGCCCATTTGGTACGGCTCCATGGATAGCCTCCCCCAATTTAATCAAATTTTGCGATCACATTAATTCTCTTTCGGTATATGGTCTTATCTTTGCTTCTGTCATTTCAACTACAACGTGACAAGGGTTCAAATTAATAGGTAAAGGCTCACGATGATTTTGACTTTAATTTATAGATTAATAATCTCAAGGTCGAACTCCTTAATAATGTGTATGACCCCATAATATTTGTACATTGTTAAAGAGACATAATGACTCACATGTGAAGGTTTGTACATTGCTAAAGAGACAGAATGGCTCACATGTGGGGGTGACGTATGGGTGAGGGCTAGTGCTAATGCTAAGGGCCACATACTAGGTCTTGTAAAATTGTAATCAAAGGAAGAATATTTGATTACTGGATGATTTTCTCTTTACAGTGTCAAGGGGTATCTATACACAGGTTTCCTACAATCAAGAGACTAATAAAGGAAAGCAAATCATGTATAATTAATTACATATAATTTGGCTAATCAACAATCCCTAATATATTACGATTTAGTTGACTTCTCAACACTCCCCCTTAAGTTGGAGAGTGAATATTGTGAACTCCCAACTTGCACACAATAGCCGAGATTTTTTTGATTTGGGTGCTTGTATCATGGCTTTCTAAGTACAATCCAACAAAAGCCAAATTAAATTGAAAATTATAACTCAATCTCAATGTCTGATTCCTCAAGCTAGCTAGATCTCTGCAAATTAAGAAATTTTTTAAACTTGTTTAAAGTTGATATCAACATTCATCAATTTGAGCAATGAACAAAACCAAGACTCAGTTGGGGACAAAACCAAGTTTACAAACTATTCCTAACCATCCCCCAAAATGCATCATGTTGAAGTATACACTTTCCCTGAGGTTGGCTTTGTAGTCTCCCATGAACAATTTCCAGTAACCATTTTTTTTTCCTCTTTCTCAAATCTGCTTCTCCAATAACGAACTAGCTAAACTGCCTTGAACAACTTTAGGGCCCAGGCTTCATGAGATTAATTTTGAAGTAAGTCTATTAACAAATATTGGGCAGCTTTGGGAGAGAGAGAAAAACATTTAATGGAATGACTCAATCTCTGTCTCCCATATGCTTGCTTACATGATATTGATCACCATCAAAAGTCGGTCAACCTGCGAGAAGCTGCAAGATCCTCTTTCGTGCTGCTCATGGCACTCGAGTGACGAGACGCCCCGAGACCAAGATCCTCTCTCATGTTCATACTAGAGCGCTGAACTAACCGCACTAACTGTTGCACCACCTCTGACATAGGTGGCCGGAATTCAGGCTCCCGCTGTAGATACAAATTAAGGAATGAAAATGTTAGTCAAGGACAATCTTCTGTCATTTCCCAGTACTCAATATAAAAGCGTAATGCATAGGTGAACCAATACTTGCAGAAACAGCCCTTTTTTTTTCTTTTTTTTTTAAAAAAAATTCTTATGGAATTGTTGATAATACCGTTCGAATGATGCTATTTGTACCATATTTATTGAGTAACTTGCTGACAGCCTCTCTTTTGCAGAGAGACTGTTAATAAATGTGGTACAAATAGCAGCACTCTTACAGTTCTAGATGCCCAAAGCCAAGCCTAACCAGAGCCCCTATAAATGCTACAGTTTCCTATATAGGTTGTGTGTGTATTTTTGGGTGTGTAGAAATCACCTGAACACAGAGGGCAATGATGTCAGCAAACCGCGAGACTGACTTGGGAGGGTAGAGTCCACGGAGAGCAGGATCCACCATTTTTGACAAGGCATCGAGATCATGGAGCTGTGGGGTTGCCCACCGGACAAGGCACTGCTCCACAGGTGGTTTTGAACTAACGAAAGGAAACAAAAATGGTTAAGACTGGCAAGACATTGACAAGGTTTGTGAATAAAAGGCAGTGCGAGACGCCAATGTAACACACCTGTCAACCGGCATACGACCTGTCAATAACTCCAACATGACTACCCCAAAACTGTAAACATCACTCTTTGCTGTATAGGCTGATGGCTTTGTGCATTCTGGAGCATTGTATCCCATCCCAAGGTTTTGGCTAGTACGCTGAAAGAATACATTGCACCATTCAGGTTGTTATCTTGAAAAGAACATATAAGTAATTGATCCTATAAACACAATGATTCACTGAGTTTCAAGAGAATGCAATTAACCTGATGGAAGGTTGCCAAGCCATAATCGCAGAGACGAGGATTGAGTTCGATGTCAAGCAAAATATTAGATGATTTGATGTTCTTGTGAACTGTGGATGGAGAGCAGCCTTCATGGAGGTACCTGAAAACAGTTCACAAAGGGTTGATTTCAATGACCTCAAGAAATCCTGGTAAATCAAAATTGTTGATTTGCTCGATTCAGATCGCTAAACATATTGGCTAATGAGGTTGATAGAAAAATGTATGAGCAATTTCAGGAGTAGGATTTATAGTCACTTACTCAACAGCCCGGGCAGTGCCTAAAGCAATTCTGACTCTTGTGTTCCAAGTTAGGGGATTACTGTAGTCATCTGACATGTGTAAGAATTCATGAAGCGAGCCATTCCTGAAGTACTCGTAAATTAACATGTTATGCCCGTGTTCTGAACAATAACCAACAAGTTCGGCGATGTTGGCATTGCGAATCTTGGAGATATTTACAACAATGTCAGAAAATTCTTGTGGCGCTGAGCCTTGAAATAGTGAGGAGTCAATCTTTTTCACTGCCAAAACCTGACATGCATATGGCATAAGAACCGTGAGTAAAAATTGAGAGACACCTCTTAACAATAAGATAGGACTATCCCTAACTCCGGTTGATAAAGTTATCCACATCAGTAATTCCAAATGAAGTTTTATGCTAGGACTTACGTTTAAACACAAATTATAACATGAACCAGTAGAAGATTTGGTGGTGAGTAGCAACTATATAGTAATCGA